CCCCCCTTTTCGTTTGACAGAAATGTGTTCAGATCAATACATAAGCGGTTTCAGAACCGAAAAATAAACAAGTTACATACACGTTCCAGCTGGTTTTTGTGTCTTAAATTGCTTTACAAGATGCCAATATTAAACCATGAGGAGAGCTATGGAGCAGTCAGAATGCTCCAGTCCAAGCAGGACTTTCGGCACATAGGGTGGCGTGGATGCTTCCATGCTCTCATTCTACCACAATCTAACCTGAGAGACAGGTTCCAAGTAACTGGTGTTAACTTTACATACCCAGACCAGGCAGGCCACGGATCACAATTGACCAAGAAGACAGACAGATGCTGCACTGGTATTTTCAAGAGTGCTGTCTTACAAGGACCAGCTATGCACATCAATTTCATACTGTGACAGTCGGGAAGTTATCAGTTACAGAACGAAACAAAGGTGTTTAAACACGCCCGGACTTGGATCAAGACGGCCAGTGACAGTTGCGCTTGAACTGGGCAAATAGGGATAGGGTTAAGTCACCCATAGAGCACAGTTTGGCCGAAGAGAAAGCGTCCTAAACTTCTTTAACATTGCATAACAACGACAAGGACAAGCATTGGTTCAAGAGTGGAATGGACTACCACAACAGTCAATATGAATACTGATTCAACCAAAGCGCAGAAGATACCAAAATTGCATTTTCACTGCAAGGGGTGACCATACCCGTTACTGACTTGGGAATTTTGAGATCACGGGGTACCCATTTCTTCAATCACTGTGTCACCATATGAACAATGATTAAAATACAAAAGGTAACATACTTCTTGAAATACTTTGAAACATATTTGTGTCAATTTTTGATTTCATTTATGGAAAAATGAGCACAATACAGGCGTTTTACAAAGTGGAAAGTTTCTATTGTCGCTGAGTATATATTTAAACACATTGTGCCTACTTGAACTGCTGTGAACAACGACAGTCGCCAACACGAGATGGAGAGCCAAGACCTTCATGGCGAGCAATGAACTGAGGACAGAGGCAAAGGATGAAAAAAGGATGAAAACACGACGTTCTTTCTTGTCATGGGGAGGCTTTTTATTTCACAATAACAGA